TCAATGTGATAAACATCAATTGGCTGCCTCCTGCATGACCCCTACTGGGGATCGAGCCTACAACCTGAGCATGTGCTGACCAGGAATCAAACCAGGGCCTCTCAATCCATGGAACAATGTTCAATCCACTAAGCCACACCAGCCAGGCTCAATCATTTTCATTAAAGAGTGCTCAGTAAGCCCTGGCCGGTGTGGCTCAGCAGCAGGAGCATCAGTCCACGGACCAAAGGGTTTTAGGTTGTTGGTCAAGGGTATGTACCTGGGTGGCAGGTTTGATCCCCAGCCCCAGTCGGGGTTGTGCAGGAGGCAACCAATTGATATGTCTCTCTCACATCAATGTTTTTCTCTCTCTCTCCCTCCCACTGTATCTAAAAATCAATGGAAAGCCCTGGCCGGTTTGGCTCAGCGGTTAGAGTGTCCGCTTGCGGTCCGGAGAGACCCAGGTTCGGTTCCCGCTAAGGGCATGTACCTCGGTTGCAGTTTGTCCCCGGCCCTGGTTGGTCGTGCGGGTGGCAGCCACTCGATGTGTCCCTTTCACATCAATGTTTCCCTCTCTCTCTGTCTCTCTCCCTCCCACTCTGTCTGTACAAAATAAAAAAATAAAAAAAAATAAAAAATAAAATAAATAAAAAAAATAAAAATAAAAATCAATGGAAAATAGCTTCAGGTGAGGATTAACAACAACAACAAAAAAGAGTAATCAAAGGCAGACAGAGAGCTTATCTAAAATTCTGACTTACTGCCTATTTTCAGGCTGCCTGCTGATTAGTGTGATATTACTAATAAAAGTCAGCAAACTTCAAACTTTTCAAAAGTAAAAAAAGTTCCAACCAATTTTATTCTAGTGCTGGGAAGTGAGAATTTCCCTTGCAATGAAATAGAACAGCATACGATTTTTAAAATGTATATATTCACACACAGACCAAAGCTACAGTTTCTATATTCAAGGTGTTATCAGTCTCATTCTGCTAAACTGACAGCAATGGGAACTGTCAAAAACCTTGCAATTATTCTGCTAGAAGGGACCAAATATGGAAAAAGGGATGTAATGGGCCTTCCCAGCCCTGCTAACTAACCTCTAACCAGAGCTGTCGTCCATCCTGCTCAGTGGGGCTGCTTTCAGTGGTGGCAAAGTACTGCATGCCATCCAGTAGGCAAGTCCAGGATGTCTTTTGCTTCAATGTGTCACCATACCAAGCTGGATGATGTTGACACTGCAGCAGCTGAGCTTTAGCAGCTGACACAATGACACAACCTTCTGTCTCTGCTCCACGAAGAACCATCTACGTCAGAGACAGAAGCAGAATCATAGCACCAGAGCCACCAAGAAAGATGAGAATAGTAAAGGATTGTACCAATAACTACAGCTGGTCTAATTCTGGCTTACTTGGGAACTTTACTGGCTTTTATATATGGTGAATATCCCTGATACCTGCTGGAAGGAATAATTTTTTGGAGCTCTATCCACCATTCATATTTAGAGATGGGGGAAGGTAAACAAACACGATTATGACCTAGCCCAATGTTGGAGTGCTCTGGTAAAATGATGATACCTGGCAGTTGACAAGCTCAATTAGGCAATTTCGGTTATATATATCATCTGTCTGGCAGGCAGCAATGCCACACAACTGGTCACTCACGCCTGACTCCTCTTCTGTGAACACTACAAACCTATCTGTCTCTTCAATCAGCTTCTGCAACATGTAGGCACCTGGGAGAGAAATAGGAAGTGGGAAAAGTCACAGTCTCAGATGGATAACATCCAAACTGATCTTCCTTCTATTTCTCTGGCTAGGTAAGGGCTAAAATGAATTCTCCCCAACCTGCAACTCCAGCCCATCCCACTCCACCCCTTGACCCTTGAGGGCAAAATAAGGGCTATCCTTTTACTTTCCCCTCAATTTTAATAAAAGTAACTGTTTCCCAAGAGAAACTATGTAATTGGTAGCATTTTTTTCTCTTAGCTATATCCACCTATGGATTACTATTGGATCTCCACCACCCACCCCACTCCCCGATTTGTTCTTTATGTTTTTCATTTAAAATTATTTGAAATGCTATTTGTTGACCACCACTTCCCACATGAAACCACTGCCTTGTCATTAGTGCTACTGAGTTCTAGCTCTACTGCTTCCTCTGATTATGCCTCTAGACCCTCTTCCTTCTCCCAGGTCTTAGAAATGAGTATCTCCTAAGGAATATCCTTGACATGTTCTCTTCTCTTTCTTACTCTTTCTTCTGATGAGTTTGTCTAACAGTGTTATGGTTAACAGCAAAATCTATAGAATTAGACTAGTCTGCCTCTCTTCAAGATCCTATCTCTGCCAGTTACTTGATTGTGACCCTTGGCAGCTTGCTTTAACCTCTCTGTGTTCTGTTTCTTTGTCCATAAAATAACAGGAACTATCTCATAAGATTGTTGAGAGAATTTAAAGGAATAATATGTAAAAGTATTTTGCAGAGTACCTGCCACACAGTCAAAACTATTATCTCCTTTGCATTAACTCTTAGCTCTATGCTAAAATTCCCAAGTCTCTATCTCTAACCCTAAACTTTTAGACCCTCATTTTCAACTGTTAAACATTACTTTGATGTACTATTTGCACCAAAAACTCAGTATGTCCAAATCAACAACTCTATACCTCCCAAACCTGTTTAGCCTCACTTTCACTTTCCCCCCATTTTAATGTCTTTTTCCAACCAGTTTCCAAGTCTCTTATATACACAGTAACATTTCTATCCATCCCCTCACCTTTATTCCCACTGCCTCTACCTAGTTCAGGCCCTTGTTGCCTCTTGTTGAAACACCACAATAGTTTCCTAATTTTTCTCCCCACCTCCAGTTCCTGCCTCTCCTGTCCTCCTCTGCACCACTGCTAGATTTATCTTCCTAAAAGTAAAACTCTAATGATGACACAACCCTATTCAAAAACCTTCAGTAGTTCACCTCTGTCTACTGAATAAGGACCAAAAACTCCTTAGCCTATACAAAAAGCCTTTGATGATCTACCTCCAGCTTTCCTTTCCAGCATCTTCTCTCACTCCTCTCTGTTAGCTACTCTTTAGGCCAATCAGACTATTCACTCTCCTTTGAACAAACTAAGCTTTACCATCTTCACTCCTATTCAGGATATTCCCTCTACCTTGAATGCCCTTCCTCCCCAGTTCCACATGTTTAAACCATACTAAGCCTTCACAGTCCAGCTCAAATGCTATTTCCTCAATAAAACCTTCCCTGAGTGCATTCCCTCCTTCACTCCAGTCAAGAACAACTTTCATATTCTTTAATTTCTTTCTTGTGGCATTTATCATTTTTCATCTTATACTTAAAACACACCATGAACTTGCACTCCTCTGCACTTGTTATTCCCTCTCCCTAAAATGCCTTCTCCTCTTTCCTCATCTGTCAAACTCTTACTCATCTTTTAAGATCCATTTCCATTATCATCTTCTTTGTGAAGGCTTCCTAGACTTCCCTGTGCTGATTTAAATACTTTCTTCTTGAACATACTTACAAAGCATTTTCATAACAAAATAATTATTTGCATATCTTTATATCTACTAGTTCCTAAGCTTCCTCCCATCTTTGTATCCCTAAAGTCTAGGGTCATGTCTGATACATTATAAACCCTCAATAAAGCTAAAATGAATCTATGAATAAATGAGTGACTGAGTGAGTGAATGAACTAATCTTAACTCATCCAGAGATGACAACTTGTTAAGGCAAGTTGAATGTCATGCATTCTATATCCATCACTGAACCCAGCACAGTGCTTTGTGCCTGTTAAGTACTCAACAAATATTTGTTGACTGAACAAAATAATTCATCAAAACACAAAACAATTCTCTAATCCTTTACTTCTTTCCTTTATTGGCCCTACCATTCCTTCCTGATCCTCCTCCTGGCCACAGGATCAGACCCTTTAATGCCCCATATCATTGCTATGTAAGACTTAGGTGGCCTGATATGGGAAAATAATGGTTTCATCTCTACACCTAGAGGAATCAGCCATGATTTAGTGCTTTTCAAACTCCTGTCCAAGATGATGTACATTTTCTAAACCTAACCCAACACAGTCTTATCTCCCCTGGCTTACCTCCTGATGACCCCTTATCAGGCTGTCCGCTAAAACTGGGAGTGTTAACAGGAGGTGGGGCTGGGGCACTGGTCGGAACACTCTGCTTTGGCTTTTTGGTTGGCATCTGGGGATCAATCTTTAACCCCTTCAGGGCCTCAGTAGAGAGATTACGTTTGAGTACAGCTGCCTTTTTGTAGCCATCATATAAACCAAAGGCAATGTCCCGATTGGTGGTTGTCCAGGAAGCCCGTAAATCTACCAGGTGCAACTGGTGTGTATGAAAGGCAGGATCCCCAACTCGAGTAGAGAGCTCCTAAGAAACAGGAAGAGAACCTCAGGGTAGCATGGACATTCTCACCATTTCTCCAGGACCACAAATGCAGAAATAAGAAAACAAGCTTGCTGAATAAAAAACCTGTTCTGGGGGAGACAAGAGGCCAAAGAAAAATTAAGTGGTCTTAGCATGTACATTAAGATATACCCACTGTATTTTAAATGACTCAGAGAATTTCAGCTTAAAATCCTTCCTTATTTGGGGGTAGGGGACAAATAAGGTGCGAGGGAAAAGGTTCTGCTCTATTTCTTGAAGGGACAAGACTATCCTTAGAAGGAGAGAAAGAAAAGGAATTTTCAAAAAGAACAAAGCTGATACAGCTGAGTACATCATAGAGTGATGACATACATGCTTGGGATATAGTTAGAAACACTACCAGGGACTTAGTCTGAAACCTATTGCAATACACTAAACTGTGTCTCCCACCCCACCCTCCCCTCCAATTCATATGTTGAGACCATAATCCTCAATGTGATGGTATTTGGAGATGGGGAGGTAATTAGGTTTAGATTAGGTCATGAGGGTGAGACCCTCATGATGGGATTTGTGCCCGGAAAGCTTATACTCTCTTTTTGTGCCATGTGAAGACACAGCAAGAAGGCAGCCAGGAAGAGACCTCACCAGAACCAGAACCTGACCATGCTGGCACCCTGATCTTGGACTTCTCAGCCCCCAGAATTGTGAGAAATAAATTACTACTCTTTAAGCCACCCACTGTATGGTATTTTGTTATGGTAGCCTGAGCAGACTAAGACACATACTGATACAAATAAGGTAGTAAAGAGACTGTTTCAGGCGGTACCTCCTCTGTCGTGCGATTGCTATGCCGTTGGTAGGTGAGAGAGGACAGACTCAGTAGGTGGGTCTTTGTTACCAAGGGATCAAGGCAGTGATCAGCACTCTCTTCAGTGGGCGAGGCCATCAAATGAACAGTCACTTGACTTAAGTCACTAACCATCTGGGTCACACTCCAGTCAGAGATGAGGCGCCGCATCACTGTGCCCGCTGAGAAAAGGAGGCATACAGAGCCCATGCAGACCAGCACCGAAGAATAGTGTGGGACAGACAGGGCAGGGAAATGTGAAAGGGAAAGAGGACAAGGAGTAGGCTAGGATAAATAAAGGGAGTTGTTTACTTTACCTTGAGGTATAAGCCGCTGAGTTCCCCGAGTAAAGACATGTCCCTGACTGCACTCAATCTGGATACCCCGCTGCTGGGCAAATGAGGCCCAATAATGCACCTGGTAACAAGAGAACTTCACACTGAATGAAGAATGGCATTGTAGAAATGAGTAAGAGACCAGATAAAAAAAGACAAGTGAATAAGGGAAGGGCAAAAGAACTGAAGATGTCAGCAGGGATGTCAGAGCCTGACCTGTAGCTGGGGAAAGAGTGCAGTAAATGAAAGCTGCTTATAGTGCTGGCCAAGTTTCTTCTTGCCGGGTTTCAGGTTATTGAAAAGCTTTCCCCTGCAGATAGGCCTTGTGACACTAGTCCAAGTTGCCCAGAAGTTTTGCATCCAGCGCAGGGTACTACTATATAGCAGAATTCGGGGCTGGGATATTGCTGCAAAGGATAGACATTCACAAGCTACAGTTAAAACACAGTGATGAAGCTAAATCCTTCCTTAGCTCAGATTAGGTTTAAAAACCCTAATAGCACTCAGCCTCACGTTCAATATCCCCAACAACCTCTCCTTTCAAAGATCCAACGTCTTTGTTTTCACCAACCTTTTCAAAAAGGTACTAACCCAAATCTTCCCTTGCCCTTTCCCTAGCCCCTCCCCAGAGGACTGAGCTAAAGTTCTCAGTGTCTAAGCCCAACCTCCCAGCCCTTTCACCCCACTGTCCCAGAACCAAGCCTCACTCCCGCTGTGCCGAGTCAGATCCATCTTGATGGAGAGATTGAGGTTCTCAGAGCGGAAGGCCCGGTAAGAGTCATGGAACTGGCCCAAAGGCACCTCAGGGAGGAACTCTGGGGCCCGAAGAGTGACACCATGGTGATCATGGGGGTTCCCATGGCATAGCCACTGCAGGTCCAGTGTCATGCAGAGGTCAGGCAGGTGAAGGAAGCAGCAGTCGTCATACCTGCCTTACAACAGAATCAAAGTCCTCAGTGCCCTGGTCACTTGCAGCCCCTTGGCTCATCCACTCTCCCTCCACACTGAGTCCTGTTAAAATCCCACCCATCATCACTCCACTCACTTAGAGGCTGTTCTCACGTTGACATCCAAGTCACCCTTGAACACAAACTGACCAGGTTTCCAGTGAAATGACAGGTGGTTCCACTCCCAGTGCATATTCTCAGTTGTGTTGTATGGATCCTATAACCACCCCCAAAAACTTGGTGAGATATGGATAAGAGTATCACCCTCATCTCCCAAATCAGTACCTTTCTCTCTTCCCCTAAGTGCTGTGCAAGCCCCAACGATACCACCCTAATAAGAAAACAATTCCTCTGGACCCTCACCTCAGTAGCCAGCTGGTGCAAGTTCGCCTGTTCAACATCCATGTGCCAGTCCCCATGGAACAAAAGACGGCTCTTGTCCCACCAGGGCAAGGGTGGGCTGGGGTCAGCTGAGGGCTTGGTCAAGAGGTCCACAGATTGGCCAATCAGTGTCCAGGCTGGATCCCAGCATGGGCCCCATACCACTGTGTACTGGAAGATTTCCGCTGGGATAGAGGGTTAAAGGGTACAGCTTGTTACACAACTTCATTCCTCTCCTCTTCCTTCACTACAGAAGGGAGTCAGTGCATCTTCCATCCCACCCATCCCCCAGCCAAACCAACGGCTTTCCTCAACTCACAGCGGAAGTCGTGGTAGAATTTGAGTGGGGGCATGTTCCTCTCTACTGCCACATTACCCCACGGTAGCCCCAAGTGCAGGATTTGACGCCGACGGGAGCAAGGCTGACCACTCTGTTCGGTGCCCACAAGTCGACCTATCAGCCGCCAGTCACGGATCTCAAACAGGTAACGGGGATAGTCTCTTATCCGAACTGTTATTATAGGGAAGATACACACTGGCTATTCAGAGGACGGTCTCAGCACTCTCAGGCATTTTTTTCCATCACTACTTTCACCCACCTATTTTACAAAGTCAACTGGGAGAACAAAAGCTAGTCATCGGTAGCAAAGCTGCAAAGGGGCACTGAGACCCTGAGCAGATGGTGAGAGGAATAACACTGAGATCTAAGAGCCATACTAACCCTAAAGATGACTGAGTTGGTTCTTCCTTTAAGTTATCCTAGCAGTTTCAGGGTGAAATCCAGGAACAAAGAAAGGGAAGAGGAGCCCACCCATCCAAAAACAGCCACAGTTCCCAATATAACCAAGCTCCTCTGTAATCACTCAGAGTTCCCTGGAGCTCCAAGGGCAAAGACCAGGCTCTGCAAATAAGAACTTACCAAGAAAAGTCTTCACACTGCACTTGAGCATACGACACCACTGAATAACAAGATCTACTCCCTCAGCAGGAAAAGGGCTGCCTGGATCAAGCTCTCGAACCTGCTCTATCACACGTTCAGGCCCGTGGAAGGAGGCATCTGCCAGAGCCACCAGCTCTAGCCCTGCCAGGCTCCAAGTGAGCAATGCCCGGCGCATGGGTGTGTTGCCATAGAGACGCCGCGAGCGCTGGATGTAGATTTCAATGTTTTTGTGTTCCAAAGAGGCATAGAGCTCCTCAATTTTGCGGGCTGGCAATAACTCCCCATGCTGCTTCCGAAGGGCAGCTACTTTGGCATCCAGCAACTGCAGCCTTTTGGCACTCTCCTTACTTTCATCCTTCATCAGTTCATAATTATCACGAAGTTTCACCTCAAAAATGTCATCTAGGAAAACCCATGAGAAGTGCTGAACCTTCAAGAGTAGATCAGGTGGGAGTGGGGCAGGGCTTGGAGAGGCCTGAGCATGAGTCCCTCCTCGATGCAGCCCCTTCAGCCATTTCTGAACTCCCACCGCCTCATCCAGAGTTTGAGAAAAGTCATACTGATAAGGAAACTCCACTGAAACTGAGCCAAGGGAGAGGAGCCAAACACGGTTCCGGAGGGTCTGCAGCACAGGCAAGGGATTCCGGTGGAGGATCATCTCCTCCAGCTCAGGTAGCAGCTGCACCTCCACCTCCTTGAAGTTGAAAATGCTATTGCCATCAAAGCCAGCAGCCAGCTCTGGGCAGTAAGCCTGAAGTGAACCCCCATGTCGGCTCAGTGACACACTCTCTGCAGCCAGGGTAATGAACTTGTCCTCAGCTACAAAAGCAGTCAGCTTGGCTGTGCTCACCTCTAGTGTCAGATTTAGAAGCCGCTTTGGGGGGAATGGCTCAGGGGGATGGCCTTCTAGCTCAGAAGTGGTCCCTGGAGTCTCTAGTGCACGGAGTGGAAGAGTCTTGGGAAAGAGAGTGGCTCTTAGTAAGTCGCGGGACTGCAGGGTGGCCAGGATATGCTGGTACAGGTACATGTGATCTGGGGGGCTCCAGAGTAAAGTCAGCCCTGCACCACACTGAACCTTTAAGGAGCAAGAGAAAAGGATCTGTCAATTACCATGTCCCTTGGTAATCTGTCAATTGCAGGGATTATTATACATGCATATATGATTCAAGAACCATCTCCACCTGAAAGTATTTCCTGAGTAACCACATTAAGTAGTCCCTTGCTGTTTTCTTAGCACCACAAGCACTTAAGAGCACTCACACTTAAGTTCTACATGGTCTGAGCATAGACGCCATGTGTTTTAAATTCTTTGGTATCTACCAAAGCACACCTAGTATATACAGCACATACTCAACAAATCATTTGGCTTTATGTTTCTGCTCATAAGTTATTTTCAATAACTTCCACATTCTGTATAATGACCACTGCAACAAGCTGAAAATGTTTCATGCATTGATTGCAGCTTGACTAAATTCTTAAAAAGTATAAAAAGTAATGACCACACAAATCAATACAGCAACTGACTAATGCGAAAGTATGCCTCAAAGAAGGGAGCAGAGTCTTTGTCAGCCTGAAAAGCAAATTGGTTCTGAATAGCTAAGTGGACAGAAAAATTTAAATTCCAGGACAGAAAAATTTCTTTGAGTTCCAGCCTCTGAAAGGAAACTCTTCAGTTTCCAAAGGAAGTTTAAATCTGACAAACAGGAAGCTATCCCACTCTCCTCCTAAGAGGGCCCCATATCCTTCTAATACCCTGAGAGAAAGGTATTGAAAAGCCTCTGAAAACTTGCCAGCACTTCCATCTTCCAGCCTTTTGATGAGATGAGAGCTTCAGCAACATTATACAAGATTATGATCTTTAAAAAAAAACCCTTACTTTTCAGACATATGCACTGAAATATTTACAGTTGATATTGTATCTAGCATCTGCTTCAAAATAATCCCAGAGCCAGAGGGTAAGAGCAATTAGTGGAAGTATAGATGAAACAAGTTGGCCATAAGTTGGTAATTATTGAGCCTGAGAATGAATACACAAAAGTTCACACAGTCTCTCCAGTTTTGTATATACTTTAAACTGCACAATAAAAGAGTTATAAATGTTCAGAACAAGCCAGGAAAAAAGAACACCAGTGTTGCATTTCTCACAGATGAGTTTTACCTGACTCAAAAGACTGGGAAATGCTCTAAATCTAGGGAAAACCCAATCCGACTCAACCTCCCCAGAAAAGCATTACCTCTAGAGAGCGGATGCTGTTGTGATATGTGATGGAGAGCATGGAGAGGCTGAGCACTGGAGCAGGGATGTCAGGAGCCTTACAACAGGGCTGCATCTTCTCTGTGACTGACTTCACCAGTGCAAGCACAAGTCCTTGAATACCCACAGTGGAGGTTTCAGCACTTCCCAGAATAGTCAGTGTGTCTAGTCGGACCTCTGAAGCACCTAACATCCAGAAACCATGTCAGCCTTGATTCTCAGCTCTCAAATGGCAACTTCAGTTCTCACTCTCCTTTGTTACTTCTCTTCACTATAGTTATCTTTATTCCCACACCTCCTTTAGTTCATTCCTCGTATTTAAGAAAAAATTATCCTTTCCCATTATTTTTTTCCAATTTAAAAAAAAGAATTTTAATCGATATTTAGAGAGAGAGAGAGAGGGAGAAAATCAATGCGAAAGAGAAACATCAATTGGCTGCTTCCTGCATGCTCCCTACCGGAAATCAAGCTACAGCCTGGGCATGTGCCCTGGCTGGGAACTGAACCAGCAGCCCTCTGGTACACTGGATGGTGTTCAACCAACTGAGCCACACCGTTCAGGGCTCCTTTCCCATCTTAACCTAAACTTCTGGCAGGGCCATAAGAAACTCCCTGACTCCTACAAATTGTCCAGAGATACATCAGTTACTAAACACACAAGAAATTAAAAAACTACATGCATCTCATTCTTTTTTTTTTTTTTTTTCAATCCTCACCCGAGGACATTTTTTTTTTGTTCAGGTAGAGTGGGAGGGAGAGAGAGGAAGAGAGAGAGAGAGAGAGAGAGAGAGAGAGAGAGAGAGACATCAATGTGAAAGGGACACATCGAGTGGCTGCCACCCACACGACCGACCAAGGCCAGGGACAAACTGCAACCAAGGTACATGCCCTTAGGGAGAACCGAACCCGGGTCTCTCGGGACCACAGGCTGATGCTCTAACCGCTGAGCCAAACCGGCCAGGGCTCATTCTCTTTTTTCTTTATTGATTCTAGAGAGAGAGGAAGGAAGAGGGAGAGAGATAGAAGCATCAGTGAGAGAGAACATCGACTGGCCACCTCCTGCATGCCCCGCACTGAGAATTTGGCCCTGGGCACTGCCCTGACTGAGAATCATCCAGTGACCTCTTGGTGCATGGGTCGACGCTCAACCACTGAGCCACATCAGCCAGGCACATCTCATTCTCTTGATCAGACATCAAGACTGTCTTTTTTTTACATATCTTGCTTAATAATTACCTTTTTTAAGCCCTTAAGAAATATCAAGCCCAACCAGTGTTTCTCAGTGGGTTGACCCATGCACCAAGAGGTCACCGGTTCAATTCCTGGTCAGGGCACATGCCCAGGTTGTGGGCCAAATCCCCAGTGGGAGGCATGCAGGAGGGAGCCAATTGATGTTCTCTCTCATCGAAGTTTCTCTCTCTTTCTCCCTCTCCCTTTCTCTCTAAAATCAATAAAAAAAAAAAAAATGTCCAAAAAAAAAAGGCCATGGCCGGTCTGGCTCAGCGGTTAGAGCATCAGCCTGCAAACCAATGAGTCTCAGGTTCAATTCTGGTCAAGGACACGTACCTCGGGTGCAGTTTGTCCCCGGCCCTGGTTGGGTCGTGTGGGACATCGATGTTTCTATCTCTCTCTCTATCTGATGATAAATAGAAAAGTATCCTCAGGAGAGGAAAGAAAGGAAAGAATGAACGAACGAATGAACAAACAAAAGAAAGAAAGAGAAAGAATGAAAGAAAGAAAGAAACAAAGAAAGAGATCAAAAAGCTTAATAGTTATGCAAGACATTCTAGCATCTCAGCCTCTAATTTTGAAAAATTCCAGATAAGCCCTGGCCGGTTTGGCTTAGCGGTTAGAGCATCGGCCTGCAGTCCAGAGAGACCCGGGTTCGGTTCCTGCTAAGGGTACATACCTCAGTTGCGGTTTGTCCCTGGTCCTAGGTGGTCGTGCGGGTGGCAGCCATTCCATGTGTTCATTTCATGTCAATGTTTCTCTCTCTCTCTCTCTCTCTCCCTCCCACTCTATCTGAACAAAATATGGAAAAATGTCCTTGGGTGAGGATTAAAAAAATCCAGATAATAAGCTCCATTAAATGAGAAGAAACAGACTGAATCAGCATAATGTGCTTGGGTTACAAACTACCCACTTCAGTATAGACTCCCTGTCCTACTTACCAATGAGGGCAGAAAGGGTGAACAAGTTCATGTCCTCCACCTTTAAGTCCACCTTCCACAGTAATGACACAGATTCCCCAAATGAAGATTCCCTAGAGATTGTTGACTTCCCAGATTGTGGGCCCATCAAGGATAAGATCCGAGAGA